TTCATTCCTTAAAACAAATCAGTATGTTGTTATTTGAGAAATTGTCAGAATCTGACACTACAGCACTAGAATATTTGACATCCACAATACATCTATATAAAAAGAATATAATTATATAAATAATCTCAGACTCTCAGAATGAGTGTGACATGGGAAGTTATAAAGTCAAAAACTGTTACCTGCTCTGACATATATTTATTTGCTCAAGTAAACTGGAGTTTAACCACTCAGGTTTTAATGACTCACAGTTGTGGCAATAGGCAAAATGGACAGTAAACAATTTAATGAAACATTCTGCAGAGCAGAATGGATAAAATGGTAGCAAACAAACAGCACAGGTTTAAAAGCTCTCAGGAGACTAAACAGAGTGGCCTCCCTGGAAAGAAATCTAAGAAATATCTGAAACTGCACCCAGAGCACGAAAACAGGTCATATTCTAAAATGCAGCTAACATTTTAATGAAGGTATTACCTGGACATAGAAACCACCTAAGAGAAAGTGCTGTTTATCATGAACTATGGCAACTAACCATCAGCCGCATTAAACTTTGCCAAAGCAGCAACTCAATGTGTAGAACTGATTCTGTGTTTTATTACCAATTGTGAAACAACTCATGAGTTGTAATGCTGCATGTGTCTGTTAAACTTTTCTCAGCCTTTCAGTGAATTCAGAAATCTTTCTGTTAAACATTCCAGGATAGGAACTGATGGGAAACTATGTTGTTTTGGGCTAAAATGTTAACATTCTTTTCAATACAGCTAAGAAATAATCTTATGTGTAGTTAAACATAAAGAGGATAAGTAAAGAACACATATTTGCTCTTCTTGAAAAAAAACAACCCCACTAAAAATTATTATGCTCTTTTTATGATAAAGGTAACACAGTAATGGCACTAGTTGCTGTACTATTCTTCCCTCTTTGGTATTTATATTACACAGAATAACTGAATTGATTAGAGATGAAGACCTCATATACACCTTGACTGATATCAGACAATTTGTGCTGTAATTTAATTTAAAAACTATGCACTAAGAAGGAAAGGACAAACATCCTTCACGAGGCATCATTGCAATAAACATCTGTGAAGGCCTGTTAGGATTTTTTATTTTACTGCTGACTTCAAAACACAGACTTCTTTTAGCACTTTCAAAATGAACAAAGCATCACACATCATTCAAGTTATGCAATTATGTTGTTTTAACACTACATTCAGTTTACCTTTAGTTTTCGTCTTGCATTGAATTTTCTCAATTGTTCTACTGTTTCTGGAAGATGAATCTTGTATGCATAGCGATCTCTCTCCTTAGAAAGCCCCACAAAAAAAAACCAGAACAAAAGAACATTAAATACAAGCTCTCCATAGTCTCTCAAAACCAAGAAACCAGACAAGAAATGTCCCAGCTAATAAGTATCCTAAGGAGAATGAGGATCTCTTGCAACTTAAGGAAAAGTTCAAGAAACTAAGAGGGATTAAAATACTTTGAAAGAATTCTTAACTTGGGCTAGGGATATTTTCTTTTTGTAATTTGTTTCCCACCTTGTAGTAAGACCTTAGTCTTTTGTTTTACTGTTGTGCTGTTAGTCAGCCTGGGACTAGCACTGAACTTTGAAGCTGGCAAGGAGAAAGTAGTTCTGCTTCTTGGGATACACAAATCCCAGCAAAGCAATGTGCTCAAGCACTCTTTTAAGGGGTGCTTGAAGCTTCATGTGAGCTTGGAGATGTGTCCAAAAGAGAAGAAAGTGTCAGCTCTTTGGCTGGTGATACCAGATGATGATACAGAAAGAATTCTCCATTACAGAGGCAGATGAACAATTTGCCAGTGAACAATTGCAGCAACAGTAGGGACAAAACTTGCAGCAGTTGACTACTTTTTTCCCCTGCCTCAAATCGCCACAGAAGCTATATATAATTATGAATTTTATGTAAATGTTTATCACATGCATCTCCTGAATCAGAGTGAAATCACTGGGAGAAGTAATTCAGTCCCTCTATAGCACTAAAGATGTTTCTGTCTCATGCTGTATTTGCTTCTATCTATAAATGGCTTAGGTGAACATTCTGAGTCAGCAGGGAAGGCAAAAATAAGAGGAGTGCCAGACAGAATGCTGGCCTGAGCTTGAAAATAAAGTTGTCTCAAACAAAACCTTCACCTTTCTTTCCTTGCTTGTCTTTCAACAAATAACGACTAGATCAGAAAGAGACCACACACATCAAAAGTGCTAAGCTATACAGGCAGAGCTTGCACATTTGCACTACAGAATTTTCTTCTGAAGAAGCCTGATCAGTTTAGTTGCTGCAATAACAAAAATGGGAAAGTTTTCTGCCAAAAAAAACCCCTCAACAAAACCTTGTGAGGGTTTGTCACAGGGTCAATCACTGGAGCATGATCATTTTGGATTCCCAGTGTGTCCATTCCCATACTCCTTGAAATAGTTGGTACTCTGTGTATGCCCCAGATGAACAGACAGAAATTTGCCTCCTTTTGAGGGGAAAGGTATAACCTGCAGTTTCCCAAACCCAGAAGAGTTGCCTTAACCCCTCTTACTCCCAAGAGGTGCACACTCCTGACCTCCTTTTATAAGCTAGACCATTCTGCAGCTTGGAATACAAGAGACAGCAGAAAGAGAGCAGAGAAGTGGCAGAATGACTCCATTCACTAGTGGTTACACTATTCACTTGAAGGGAGAAGAACATTTAAACCTGTCCTTCCCAGGTTCTTTTTTTGTGGGTTTCCTTGTGTACCTATTTGCCTCATGTAGAGCATCTGAACAGTTCAGAAGCAGCAACCTTTCAAAATAAGTGCTCTGTTAAAATTCACAATATTATGACTCTCTCTACTCTGGACCCACACTATAGAAAAGAAATAGAGGATAAGAAAGAAAAACAGTTAATTCGTGACCTTCTGCCAAAGAAAATACAATGCTCTGATCCAGTAGTTGCCACCTTTGAAATCTGCAGCACAACATCATTCCCCAAGTCCAGTGCTTAGCACAGCCTACTGATGGGACTGCTGAGAAGAAACAGGTGTATATTCTCCTGCTCCTCTTGCTAATCTTCAGTGTTTAGCAACTACTCTTCCACTGGCTTAAACTGTGTTGTAAATTCTACCACCACTGAAAAATAATTCGATTACCAAACATCACATAATTTTATGCAGCCCCAGTGGCCTTTGAGCAACACTCTACATACTTCCTTCACTCTGGTGGGATATTTTGGGAATCTAATGTAAGAAAGCAGCACAGCTCAGTTAGCATAAGGTACTGCCAGAAACTGCATGGCTACATGCACAATAGGAAAGAGGTCTAGACACGACTGAGCAAAGGTGAGATATGAAATTATTCCTCTGGAGTTTGACAACCACAGCAAGACACGTTACTATGTGACACATGCTGTGCAGCCCTTCCCCCTGTACTCTGATGCTGCTGAAGTTGTCTAACTGAGTTTGCTCTTGCTGTTAAGAAAGAGTACAAGCCTGGCAATTATCAAAATCTCAGGCTCTAATCCTAGAAAACATTTAAAACTTACTCTCACATATTTTGGGCAATATAATGTCTACTTTGAAAAGTTCAGAGTAATAAGGATATAAATCTTTTTCTCCCTCCAAGAGGAAACTGGTATGTAAACAGCTGTTTTTACTACCTTTAACCAGGGATGGTTCAGTGCTTCATATACTGTTATCCTTTCTGCCGGGTCCAGCATGAGCATGCGACGTACCAGGTCTTTGGCACTTTCAGAAATATGGCTCCATTGCCTAGGATTCATCTGAGCACAAGCAAGAAAAAAAGAAATGAAATCAGTAAGAAGAACCTAAAAAAGAACCTGCTTTTAATGCAAAGTAATTGCAGAGATTTAACAGTGCTTGGTGCTTGTAAGCATTTCATTGTAATCAATGTTAACAGAAAGTTTCTAAGGCTTTAATAACTTGTAATAAACTGTACACTGGTTGCTATTGAAAGAGCATAAAGCCTGAAAACATAAAACCTGACATATGCTTGGAATTATGTTATAATCACAGTCTAAGTTTCATTTTGTTCAGAAAAAAAGTGACCCTTCACTAGAAAAAGAAAAACACCAACAAAGTTCTGTCTGACTGCTAACTATGCATATGAGAAATGTGGAAATTAAATCTGATCCTGAAATCAATATAAGGAATAGCATGAAAATAAACCTATATCAACCCACAATTTCATGCCAGTAATTCTGGGTAAGAAGGGACTGGGCTAATTAATGCCTGTTGAGAACTACTCTGGTCCTGTCCTGAAGGTACCATGGACAAAGGCTCTTCCCAATAAATTCCTTTCAACTTTAGAACAGGAAAACATCTTCAGGCACTAGGAAAGCACACTGTGATCACCAATACAAGTGACTGCAACACTTTTTAGAGCAGAACTTTATCTTTAGGAGACAACAATGTGAAGGATGATTTAGAATATATTTTCATCTTGTGCATCTGCAGGTTTGTGCCCAAACAGTCAAAATGATGGACACGTGATAAAACCATGCTAAAGTAAGAAAATTCTTTATGTGATATAAAGGATTATATCACCAACTTATTTCTAGAATTTCTTTAATTTATAAGGAACTCATGTTTTATTTAGAGGTTACACTGCTAAATTTACAGGATACTAAATGAAAATTCTAAATTATAACCAGAATCTTTTTGATGTTATAACCTGTTCATTTAAAGAGATTTGTTTTATTTAAAATCAGTCTTTACAAAAAATGATCACTTTAAATTGGGGCACTCAGGAAAATTATCTGGCTATGAAACGCACATTTATAGATGTGATTTGTCATTTCTTTTTCAGCTCTAATGAGCTGAAAGTAATTGCAAATTTGCAGCAAAACTATTTTAAAGTCCTTACAGTATTTTCACTGAATAGACATATTATTGTGGAAACAGGAACAGAAAAGGAACTCAGAGGACACAATGTGCTGGCCATGACTTTTTTTTTAAATAAAGAGAAATTAACTTCTACACTTCCAGAAGGTTGTAGCTGCTGAAGAGATTCCATAAAGAAATCTTCTGTAAAGTGAAACTGAAATGTCTACCTGTCTATGCAATCCCAAAACTAGTGCCACAAAGAAATGCTGCTGTTTCTAGGAATCCAAAATGTAGATTGCAAAATGTGCTCCTGACCAAGAGCAGTTACACTGCTGTCACTTACATTTTAGCAGACTACTGTGAAGTTCATATTATAAAACACTTCCTAAACCTTGTTCTAGACTATCTGACAATTTTAGGAGTCTCTATTGGTAATTTGCTATTACACAACTCATGTATGACCTTGGTTACAAAGCAGAGTGGAGCCAATCTTGGAGAAAACCACAAAAACAATGAAGTTGAAGCTTTAGATTTGTCTCCAAAGTGGCCCAGGATGCTGATGCAGTGAAACATGTTTCTCTTGCGTGCACACTGATCTGCTTTCGGTTGCAAGTGGCTCCTTTTGAATCACCAGCTGCACTTTACTACATGCTATGCTAAAAAGCAAAATGCCTAACTGCATTTGTACAGTAACATGCATCACACATTTTGATTTAAAATCAAGGTAATATGATGACCAATCTTCTTTTTGCTGATCAAAAAATTTAAACGTTCATAAATCTAAGGTACCACAGAGTATGTTAGACTTCACAGCCAAACCTCATGTAATCCTGCTGGGCATGATGTACAACTAGGGGTTGGTTGTTGCACCCTTATTTATTTCATCTCAGTAAATATTTCCATGTTCTAACTGTCAACATTGATAGAAAACACAGCAGGAA